CAGCGCGGCGTCTAACGGGTCCCGCGGGTGCTTCCCGGGTCAGGGGTCAGCGCGCAGCTCAGCGCCCCGTTCAGGGCTCCACCGGGGTCCCCGAGGCCTCACGGGCTGTCACAGACACGCTCTCCAGACCCGAGACTTTTACCTTAAAGTCACGTGAGTCCTCATCCCCATCCTCGCAAACCAGTTCCCCTTGGCAGGCGCGGCCGCAGAGAAAGCGGCAGCTTTACCGCCCGAGGCTGAAAGCTGCTGGAGACCAGGAGGGGGGGCGGGGTTCCCACCTCCTCCAGCCCCCGACCCACCCAGGTGACCCGCCCACCCTCCACGTGACCCAGCCCCCTCCACGTGACCCACCCACCCTCCACGTGACCCAGCCCCCTCCACGTGACCACCCACCCTCCACGTGACCCAGCCCTCCACGTGACCCACCCACCCTCCACGTGACCCAGCCCCCTCCACGTGACCCACCTACCCTCCACGTGACCTAGCCCCTCCACGTGACCCACCACCTTCCACGTGACCCACCCACCTTCCACGTGACCCCCACGTGACCCACCCTCCACGTGACCCACCCACCAACCCTCCAGGTGACCCACCCCCCTCCAGGAGGCCCAGCCTTCCTGCGGCACAGGGACCCAGTGCCCCTGGGCTCTGTTCCACCCTCAGGAGGAAGCAGCTCGTCCCCCACGCGGACCCCCACAGCTGTACTGCATCGCGGGGAATTGCTGGTTGGAGCTCAAGGTCACATAAGGGCTCCGGGAGCCTAGAGATCGGGAACTGGCCTTCCGAGGCTGCCCGGCTTTTTCTGGAAGGCAGTAGAGTGTGGCCTACCGGGTCAGTGGCTCCATAGCCTGGGCTTTGTGAGCTCGGGCACTTGAAAGGAACCTCAGTTTCCCTATCTGCAAAATGGGAACAATCCTGGGACTCTACAGGGTTGCGGGGGATTGGCTGAGATAAGCAGGCGGTGCCCGCTGCCGCATGGAAGTCGCGCCGTATCAGCTCCCAGAGTCACCCCCACAGCCAGGGTGGCCTCCGTCGCTTCTCAGTTCACCCGGCTGCTCTGACTCGGGGCTGGCGTCCTTTCGAACGTGTGCAGGGCTTCCTCGGAGGAAAACAAATGTCCATCCATCGGGGCGGGGACACCACGTCTTCCAGACAATTGCGGGTGGTCCCGGGACCCGCCTCCTTCCGAAACATGTCAGAGTCCTCGGCCCCTCGGTGTTCTTTCCAGAGAACTGTCCCCACGCGTACCCGGCACTTAGGAAGAAAAAGGCAAAGCCGTGAGCAAAATGGCCGCTCAGGAAGAGAGCAAGTGCCCTGGCCGACTGGCTCAGTGGTTAGAGCGCCGGCCAGCGGAACCACGGGCCTCGGTCGGTCCTCACCCTTTCCCGCGCTCCGCAGCTGGCTGGAGGGCTGGGGGTGGGGGTGGGGTAAGTGCCAGCCTTCGAGCATTCAGACAAAGCTAGTGACGCTGCGTCGTTTTTAAGAGAGAGAGAGAGCGAAGAACTCCGAGAACCTCCCTAAATTACAAGTGTGGGTTACAGTAATTGCTAAATTGCAGAGCTCCGACTTTATCAGACGCACGCCCCCTCCGCTCCCCCGTTCTCAGAGGCTGTGCTGAGCTGACAAGAGCCCACAAGCTCCGTGGAAAGCCTGGCGGGGAGCTGAGTGGGGCCAAGGGAGCCCTCCCCTCCTTGCAGGTGAGGCTGGGAGCCGAGATCTGGCGAATTCCCCCGGAGAACCAAAGCGCAGGTGGTCGGGTAGCCGGGATGGTAGCATTTTCCGAACGTGCGGAAGCGCAGTGGGCTGTGCCAGTCACTGGACTCGTGGAGACGGCCTTCACCAGGCTACCGTTCCTCCTTATTTGCACCGTTCGCAGCTGCAGCACCTGCAGCTCCGAGAGCCCCGTCCGTGAGAATTACCTCCCACCTCTGCACACTGGTGGTCCCTGTCCGGTAGCTCCCGCCCTCCACACACACGCCGGTTCACACCTCCGTGCCTCCGGACAGGCCAGCTACGCGCAGGCGTGTACCACCTGCCTTTTGCATAGACACACACATCACGTTTCTCATGCTGGCCTCTGCTCTCCGAGCACCTGACCCCGTGACCCCGCCGGCTGTGGTGAAGTGAATCAAAGCCTGACCCAGCTCACCTGCATTTTAGAGCGACAGCCCCTCCCGTGAATGGCCCAAAGGAAGAGGGAGCATGTTGTTTTTCCAAGAGAAATGTATTTATTTTACACACCAGTTTTTCTATACACATTTGAGGTAAATAAAATCATTGTAAGACATGCAAAGAAGCAGGAAAATGGGACCCCCAGTCAAGAGAAAAATCATCAATAGAAGTAGACCCACAGACGGCTGAGACATTAAAGGCATTAAAGGACCTAGTGGGAAAGGCAGGCAGCGCGTGTGAACAGGCCCGGGCAGCAGAGTGCGGCAGAAGGGGCTGCCCAACGCTCAGCTGCTGCTTTATGTCAGCTCTGCCCGCAACCTCTGGTTCGTGTTTATTCCTTTTGGCTCCAGGGCCAAGGAGCAAGGTGAGGCTAAAGCAGAATCTTTTTCTTTCTTTTAGCTTCAGGATGTTGGTGATGACAGTGGTGATGGGGATGAAGATGATGGTGATGGTGATGATGGGGATGGTGATGGTGATGGTGATGATGGTGGTGATGGGGATGACGGTGGTGATGGGGATGATGATAGTGGTGATGATGGTGGTGGTGACGGTGGTGATGGGGATGAAGATGATGGTGATGGTGATGATGGTGGTGATGGGGATGGTGATGGTGATGATGGTGGTGATGGTGATGGTGATGATGGTGGTGATGATGGTCATGATGATGATGATGGTGATGATGGTGGTGATGGTGATGACGGTGGTGATGGGGATGATGATAGTGGTGATGATGGTGGTGGTGACGGTGGTGATGGGGATGAAGATGATGGTGGTGATGGGGATAATGGTAGTGGTGATGATGGTGGTGATGGGGATGAAGATGATGGTGATGATGGTGCTGCTGCTGATGGTGGTGATGATGACAGTGGTAGTGGTGATGATGGTGGTGATGGGGATGAAGATGATGGTGATGATGGTGCTGCTGCTGATGGTGGTGATGATGGTGATGATGACAGTGGTGGTGGTGATGATGGCTAACATCCGTGGAACTGTCTTACTCACCAGATGTGACTATAAGTGCTTCACAGGAACCCAGTCATTTAATCACAACAGTCCCAGGTGTTAGGTAGTTTACCATCACTTTACATATGGAGAAACCGAGGCAGGGAACTACATACATCACCCAGTCACCCACCTGGTAAGTGGAAGGACCAGGACTCACTGCCCTTTGATGATCTTTGCAAATGAACTTGGTCCACAGACCTGCAAAACACTAAGGGCGAGTGGGGGGGGGGGGGGGGGAAGCATGCACCTCCCAGAGCCTCAGCCTTTAGGAAAATCAAGGTCAGAGGAGAAGACTCAGGGAGCCTGGAGCTGAGTTCCTCTGCCCTCCTCGTGCCTCCTCAGGGCTGACTCGCCGAGCCGAGCGGAAGCACAGGGTTTGCAGACGGTCCGGGGCTCTCCTCTGGCCATGCTGACGTGTTGGAAGGGCAGCTCTGCTTTTCATGACTGGGTTTTGCAACGCTGGGTGTCACAACACTGGCTGTGATCCTGCCAGCGTGGCAGCAGAGGGCACAGCTCACGGCCTGTCTCGGTACAGTTGCAATGTTGGCATCCTCTGCCCTCCTCCCCCAGGGCCCGTCCCCAAACCCAAGGCCCGCCCATGGCTGTGAGGGCCCTGCGCACCCCCACATCGTGTGCCTTGGGGTCATGCATGTGTATCGGAGTCTCACGTGTGCACACCCCACTCTGACACCCCACGCAGCCCTTCCTGGGACAGACTCTGATGAAGCTACTCATGGGGAGGTGGAGAGGCTGGCGGGAGGCGGGGAGGTGGAGAGGCCGGGAGGGGGGAGCAGGGGGAAGGCAATGTGCAGCGGCTCCCTCGCACGACAACTCTCCAGTATTTAGTTTTTGAATCCAGATGGTTCAGGCCCGCGTGCTGGGCAGCTGTAATTATTTATACTCTTGATCCTCAGTCATTACAGCGTCTTCTCCAGCCAGGAGGGAAGACGCCTTTTCCGAGGGGCTCTGTTCCACGGCAGCTTCTCTGAGGCCCCGGAGGAGTCGCTGCTGGGCAGCTGGACAAGGCTCCCGACCCCAGGAGGGCGGCCCGGGGCCGGAGGCCTGGTGTCCCCTGAAACCAGCCTGACTGCTAACAAACAAGGCCTGGCAGAGGGAAGGGAGACAGGCATGGGCTGGCCGAGGGACCAGTGGAGGGAATGGGGCGCAGAGCCTGTGGTTCTATTTCTCTTGCTGTTTGGACCCTGCAGCCCAGCGGGGAGCCCCAGGCACAGGACCAGGTGTGCCCAGCGCAGGTGCAGAGAAAGGCAGTGGGGCGGCCCCTGGCCCCATCTCCGGGGAGCCCAGTTCTCCCAGAACACGACATGGGCACCAAGTCACTGCAAACGCGGGCCAGTTCCTGGGCGTCAAATTTCAAGAACTTCTTTCCGAGGGTGAACACCCCCAGCTCCTCCCCATGGAGACCTCGCAAAGGCTCCTTCACCTTAAATAGGTTTGCTGTTCGCTTTTTTTTAATGTATTTTTTGTGATTTCAGAGAGGAAGAGAGGGAGAGAGAAACATCAATGGTGAGAGGATCATTGATCGGCTGCCCCACACGGACTGAGCCTGCAGCCTGGGCAGGTGCCCTGACCGAGTGAACCATGGCCCCCGGGCTCACAGGTGGACCCTGAACCGCTGGGCCACCCGCCCGGCTGCTGTTCGCTCCTCAGTCATCCCCGCAAACGAGCGCTTCCAAGGCCCCGAAGGAGCAAAGAGCTCCCCGCACGCGCACTGCTCACCCTTCCCGGGCCCCGCACCCTTCCCCGGCCCACACCCTGCGCCCCGCACCCCAGCCGTCCGGGAAGGACCCACCCGGAGCCTCCCAGGTTTGCATTTGGAACATTTATTTCAGGAAATACATTTCCAACACTTTGTTATTTATACAAAAGAGGCGGATTCTCAGGAGGCACCTAGCGAAAGGCCACTGCGGACGCACCCCCGTGAGGGAGGGTTTCAGGCTGGGGCGGAGGCGGCGGGCGCCCGGGAGGTGCCCCACCTCGCACTCTGACGCTGGAAGCGGACACGTCCTTCAACATCGCGGTTTTGGCAAAAACACGGCAAGTCGGTAAGTAAACTGTTTCACCGAGGGGTCCTCCTCTGGTGACCGGGGAGCCAACGCCGGGTCTGTCTGCACCCCACATCTCCCGCTGCTCCCCTGGGGTCTGCAGGCGCCCCGCACCCATCTCGAGGCAGGAGGAAGCCTGCTGCGCATGCATACGCGGTCCCTGCTGGTCCCCTTGTGGAGAGGGGCTGAGGGAGCATGGGGGTCCCTGGGCTGTTCTCGTGGGAAATCCTGGCCTTCCCCTCTTGGGGGTCCTGGGGTGCAGGCCCCAGGCACACTCAGGGCCACAGAGTCAAGGTCTCCCACCTTCCAGCCAGCAAGGGCATGGCCAGGGGGGCTGAGTGGGCACCTGGGGTGGCCTGGGCCTTCATTTAACCAGAGCACCAGGGCCAAATGGGTGTCCAGACAGACAGACCTGCACACTTGCTCAGCCCACAGGCAGGGGGCGCAGGGACCAAGGCCCCTTGGGCCACTGAGCAGCCCAGCCATGGTCCAGAGGCCCCTCCTGGGCACTGGCCATCACTTCCTCACTCAGCTCCCCACCAGGCTCACTTGCTTGACCTTACTAAAATTTGGGGGGCGGGGGGTGCATCTTTTCCTCCTTTGAATCCTCAATCAAATCCCAGCCAGTGGGGACGACAGGGGCACCACAGGTCAACGAGGACACACCTTCCTCTCCAACCTGTCTCCGCTCCCGTCCGAGGGGACCGCGGGAGTGTGGGCTCGAGGGGGCGGCTGGGTAAAGGCACTTCCCGCTCCAGGGCGGGTTCGCAGGTGGGTGGGCGGGCGGCAGCCGACGGGCTCGCCACGTCTAAGCAATTGGCAACTTGCGTCTCGTGGAATTAACTAGTCTCCCCGCGGGGGTACAGGGGTCAGGGGCTCTCTGAGTTATGTGGTCTGAGTTATGGCCACGCCATGTCAGGGGGTGGAGGCAGCAAGGGGCTCCAGGTCCCGCAGCGGGCGCCACCCCTCCTGGGCACACCCCCCCGGCTCCCGGGGCTGAGACAGTGGGGGCACGGGGGTGGGGGGACCAAGAGCAAGAGCAGGAGGCCTGGGGTCCAGCGTCCCTGGACCTGAGGGGCAGCCAGAGCGCCGGCCTCCACGCCCGGCCCCCGTGGGTGGGCCAGTAACAATCATACTCGGGGGCACTCGGTGTCGGTCCTGGCATCGTGGGGAGGGGCGGAGAGCGATGCCGAATGGAGGGGAGGACATAAAATGAACGGGGCGAGGGGCGGGCTGGGGCTGGGAGAGGGGGTGGGGGGCTGGGGGCTGGGTCTAGGGGCGGCGGCGTCTACATCTCCTGGGCCCCCGGCTCCTGGTCCTCCACGCCGTTGGCCATGTTGCTCTCGTGCAGGCGCTTCACGCGGTAGGCCTCGAAGTGGATGCTGCTGGTGATGTCCTTGATGTTCTGCATGTGCGTCCTGGCGCAGGGAGAGGCCAGTGGCAGGGCCGCCGGGTGCAGGGCGCAGGGCGCAGACCCTTCCACGCTCCGCCCTCCCCGCCCCTCCCCGCCCCCCCGCCCCTCCCCCGCCCGGGCCTGGCCTCCCGCTGCAGCCCTCCCCACCCCCACCCCACTGCTCGGCTGCCCGGCGGGGGATTAGCGCCCTCGCCCACCGCCCACACCCCGATTTGGGCCCCCCCCAGGTCTCACCTGATGAGGAGGTCCCGCAGGTAAGCGAACTCACAGTGCATGATGTTCTCAACTGAGGAGGGAAGAGGAGGGGCTTTAGCGCCGCCCGAAGCCCCGCCCCCAGCCCTGGCCGCCCCGCCCCCAGCAGCTGGGTGCCCAGAGGAACCCGGGGCAGGTGGGGGCAGGTGGGCGGGGAGAGGGAGTCGCTGCTCCACAGGTGAGCACTGGCACCTCCCAGGCACCTGGCGCTGCGGATACCGGGTGACGGGCCTGGCTCGGCTCCTGCTCCCCAGAAGGTTCTGGAAGAGCAAGGAGATGGCACAGGAACCAGGCTAGGAAACAGCAAGAAAGAGCCCCTCTGACCCTCAGTTTCCGCCTCTGGAAAATGGGCATAAGGACGCCGCCCAGCTCTCGGGACGTGAGGATGGAGTGAGCTACCTGTGAGCCGCCACACCCACCTGCCTCTGGACCACACGTGGGCGCTTTTCAAGGGTAAATGCCCGGATGGTGGGGGGACAAAGGACAGTACGGGGGGCGCACCCGCTGGCCCAGGGCGAGCACAGCGGGCGGCTCTAAGCTGGGTCCTCCCAGAAGCTGTGGGGTGCAGGCGCTGCCACCTCACCACCACCCCATAGTCCCACGGACGGGGCTGCTTCCTGAGGACCCTCAGCGCGAGCTGGTGGCACCACCAACGCACAGCGGCTGGAACAGGGACATAGGGAGCCCGGCAGGGAAGCAGCCTCGCTCTCCACCCCAGCTGCCTGCAGGGCCGAGCCGACCACCAGGGGGCAGCAGAGGACGTCAATCACCGCGCCGCCCTCCCGGCCCCTCCCACGTCCCCACTGCCCTGGTCTTATCTCAAAGGTCCCCCCCTCCAGCCCCCAAACATGCCTCCATAAAAAGGTCCCTAAACAGCAAGATCTCAGGAAGAGAGGAGATGAAAGAGGAGGGGCCAGGACAGGGCAGGCCCAGGGCAAAGTCTGCCTGAGAGGGACAGGGAGGTGAGCGGCCCTCGGGACACCTCCAGGGTCAAGACCCCTGGACCAGGGAGGAGCTGAAGGCGAAGCAGCCTGCAAGGCAGACGTGGCAAACACCCAGCCTGCACCCACCGCCAGCACCTGCGTGGGCACCCAGAAAGGTCACGTGCCTCTGCACCCTTCTCCCAGCTCTCCCGGCAGCTGCCAGGGCGGGTGGCCCCGTGCATTCCAGCGCCGGGCAGGCTGTCGGCCTCTGCGAGGAGGGGCAGCCACGGCCACAGGGTGGGCGCTGTAGGGCTGAGTGATGACCCCGTACAGTGACCCCTGCACGCCTGGCCTTCCCTCCCCGTCTGGGGGGGGGGCGGGTCCAGGAGGCCCGGCTCTATCAGCTCATGGCTGCTTGCCCCCCGTTTCCCCAGTGAGCCCCTCCTGGTGGCCGGCTGGGGGCAACGCAAGGGACGAGGTTCCGAGCGCCCAGCTCAGGCCTGGCTGGCAGCTGGGGGTGGGGGGCGGGGTGGGGGGGCAGAGGCGGCGTTGCCTTGCTGATCTGTCCGGTGCCCCGCACGCCAGCGGGCAGCTACCTTCGATGGTGCCCCATTTGGTTTTCCTGCCGAGGATCCTCTTCCCGTTCACTTGGTACTCGTGGTCACTGCCCACCACGGCGAACGGGATCATCTCCTGGGGGAGGGCAGGGCGTGGTCACACGTGGGCCTGGGAGGAGCTGCCTGAGCTGGGGCCACTGTGGACACTCGGGCTCCGACCCCCACCAGCCAGAGAGGGCGTTCTCAGGGCTCAAGGCCACCCCCCCCCCGTCTTCCTTAGACCTGGATGGGCAGGAGGCCCGCCCACACCCTCCGCGGGCACAGCGTCCGGGGCCATCACTCACTCGGAACTTCTCGTTCACCAGCCGGTCCTCCGCGTCCTCGTCAAACTCCTTCTGGGGGTACACGTCGATGCCATTGGACAGCAGGTCGGCGGTGATCTGGGGGTTCAGGGGAGAGAGATGTGGGCACCATCCCTGTGGCAAGCGGGCCCTGCCCCACAGTATCTGCCTTTGCCATGACCTCTGGGGGCTGGTGACCTTGATATTTTCCAGTTCTTTTGCCTCTGGGGGCGGGGGGGGGCGGCGGCTGCAGACCTGCCCGCCAGGAGACCTGTGGCTGCCGGGGGCGGGGGGGGGGGGGGGGGGAGTGGAGCCCTACCCGCTGTTTGAAGTAGACCCTCTCCTCCAGGGTCAGCGTGTCGGCCTTGGCGATGACCGGCACGATGTTGACCACCTTGCTCAGGCGCTTCATGAACTCGATGTCCAGGGGCCTGAGGCTGGAACGGAACATGTGGGTGAGCGTGTGGTCGGTGGACCCGGGACGGGAGTGAGGGGGGGTCACCCGCCTCCGGCCGCATGGAGCTCGGGGGGCATCCCAGGCCCGGCCCCGGCCCAGGGCGCCACACGTACGAGTGGCCGGTGGCCGGGATGAAGTACAGGCAGCAGTGCACGCGCGTGTCGGGGATGCGCTTTTTCCGGTTGATGTTCACCTCCTCCTGCAGGTACTTCTCGTACTGGTCGTTGATGAACTTCATGATGGGCTGCCAGCTGCGGGGGGAGGGGGGTCAGCCTCAGGCTCCTCCCGCCCCAGCTCGGGGCAGCGCCCCGGTCCCCACGGCAGGCCACCCATTCCCAGGGCCCAGCCTGGTCCCCGGCGCGCGGGACTCTCTGAGCAGGGACCACAGCCTCAGCTTAGACGTGACCTCAGGGCGGGTGGTGGGGGGGGAAGGGCAGACCTGGGACCCCCGGGGCTGGCAGCAGCCTGGAGGAGCCCCACCCCGCAGCCCCCGCCCTCGCCCTCACCAGTTCTCGTTGTTGATGTGGTCCCCGAAGCCCGGCGTGTCGATGACCGTCAGCTTCATGCGGACGCCCTTCTCCTCGATGTCTGCGAGGACCACGGAGCCGAGCTCAGCGGGCGCCGGGACCTCACACCTGGTGCCGCCCTCTCGCCGCCCGCCTGGCCAGCCCCGGCCCAACATGGCCCACGTGGGGCGCCCCAGGGTGACCTGCGATGACACCCCAGCTACACCAGTGACACGGAGTCTGCACCAGCGGATGCCCAGCGGGGCCTGGCCTTCCCCTGGAGGCCCCGCCCAGGGTCTCTGGTAGGAACTGGACCTCTGAGCTGGGCCTGACTGGACCATGGGGTCCCGAGAGCCGACCCTCACCCCGACCCAGAGTGAACGAGATGGAGGAGATGCCGCAGGTCCCCAGTGCAGGGTCCGGGTCCTGGCCCCGCACCCCGCACCCCGCTTCAGGGGGGAGGGAGGCAGGACTGGCCCCGCCCCTCACCGTGCGTGATGGACTTGATCTCGATGGTCTTGGGGATGCGCTCCTCTGAGCTGGGCGGCTGCACTGACTTCCGGCTGATCTTGGATTTGAAGAGGGTGTTGATCAAGGTCGACTTCCCCAAGCCGCTCTGCCCTGGGGGGAGAAGGGGCCGTCGGCCGGCATCCGGTCAGGGGGTTCACAGACCAGCGACTCCGCAATGTCTGGGCATCACCCCCAGCACCCCTCTGTGGAGGGCTCCGGTCAGGGGGAGCCAGGCAGCGGTCACGCTCCCCCAGCGCATGGTTGGACCCCCGCCTCTGAGCACAGGGGTCCAACCACCCCCTGCGGGTCCCATGGCTCCCTCCCGAGAAGGGCTGGACGCAGAGCACGTGCGGGTCAGAGGAAAAGCTCCCAGAGCCCCCACCCAGGACCCCAGAGAGAGGGCCCGCCTCCCCCACGGAGGGAGGTCTGTGAACCGGCCACAGGCCAGCCACGGCCGGCCGCCCACGCTGCTGGGCTCCGGTCCAACCCGGGGCTGGGCTCCCAGCCTCCGGGTTATCTAGGGAAAGACTGGTGGGCCCAGCATGCAGCCCTGACCGCCAGCCTCGGCAAAAGGTCGCTGGGTCACTTCTTCCTGGTGCCAAAGGCCTGGGCCTGCTGGGCGTGGGGGGCAGCCCCGTGGGACTGAAGGCCAGGGTTCGAGTGGGAGCCGGGGGGCGCTGCGGCAGAAGCTAGACGGGGAGGCCGCGGGTCAGAGTCCCACTTTCCGAGAGCCCTCCCGGGGGCTCCAATGGGGGCAGTGGCCGCTCTGAGGAGCTGGAACCCTCAGGCTGGCACACGGGTGCACATTACAGGGCCACCCGCACCCCATCCCGCAGGCCAGGCCGTGGCCCCGCGTTACAGAGAGAGGCCGGGCAGGCTGGCGTGAGAGCCGCCCCCGGAGCCGGCTGGCCGGGGCTGAGCGGCGCCCTGCGGGCGGGACTCACCGACCACCATGATGTTGAACTCGAAGCCCTGCTTCATGGCCTTCCTGCGCATCTGCTCCAGGATGGAGTCGATGCCCACGTAGCCAAAGTCCACGGGGGCCTTCTCGTTCCGCGGCGCAGGCGCCGGCTTGAGCCCGGGGTCCCTGGGGGTGTCAGCCATGTCGCCAGCGCAGCCGGGAGCTGCCTCGGTGGCTGCGGGAAGAAGGGCAGAGGCGTTAGGGGTGACGGGTCACCCGCAGGTGCCCCCAGGCCCCTACGTCCTCCGGCAGCAACAACCATCGGCTCCATTTCTCAGACGGGGAAACTGAGGCTCAGCTGCCCTGAGGCCTCCGAGGAAAACCTGGCCCCGAAGCCCTTGTCATGGGGCCACATAAAAGGCACCCACTGTTGGCAGCCACGCAGGTGGCCGGGCCCGCAGGGCACCACCCGGACCCTCAGACCTGTCTCCACGCCCGGCTCCTCTCCGCCCGCCGGCCCCGCCCACCTGCTCATCACCTGAGCTCACCCCGGAGGACCCAGCTGGGCTCCATCCCCTCCACCGGCCAGGAGAGGGCGGCCTCATGAACATGGAGGGAGGGACCACCATCCGCCTGCCACTCCTGGGGAGTCCTGCTCAACCTCCGGGTGCCCCCCGACAGCCCGGGCGGGCTGAGTGCCCTTTGGAGGTAGAGCCACGGTCCCCCTGCCCCTGCCGCCCCTGGACTGGACCCCAGCGGCCACCTTCTCTCTGAGCCCAGCCCTGAGTGCCCCTCGCCCGCGGCCAGGAGGAGGTTCTGCTTCCGGGGCAGCGGCCAGGCGGGCAGGTGGGGCTGAGCTTCTCAAAATAACTCCCGCTCTGCGGCCCGCCGGTCAGACCCTCCTCCTTCCCACAGCCCCTCCCCTGCTGCCCCGCCACCTGCCCGGGTCAGAGGCTGGGGGAGGGTGCCCGGAAGGTGCCCAATGGGGACGTGAGGTACACCGTCTAGTTCCGGTTCCCACCAGGGTCTGTGTCTCAGTGCCCCCCCCACTTCCCCTCAGCCAGCCACCCGCTGCCCCCAGCCCCGCCCTCCGGCCACCCACTCCTCACCAGCCCCAGGAGCCCAGGACCGGTGCCAGGCCAGTGCCCAGTTTTCCGTAAACTGCGTTCCCACTTCCTGATGCAATAACCAACCCTACCCCCACGCTGTGCGCCCTCAGCGGCCCCCCCGCAGCGGATGCCCACGGCCCACACGCTGTGACGGGGCACTGGGGAGCTGAGGTCAGGGCCGGGGCCCTCCCCCGCACCCGGGCTGCACGGGGCCACAGAGGCAGGAAGGTGACAGGGGCCACGGGCTGACCGATTCCAGAAACCGGCCGTGGGCGGTTTATCTCAGGAGCCAGGCACTCCCGTCCCTGCTTCACAAGAATCCCCACGTCAGGGGACTGAGGGATGAGAAAGTAACACGATGCACATGAAAAGCCAGGAGCCCTGGGGTCCCCGCTGCCCACCCCAGCCCAGCCCCGGAAAGGCCACCCGGGGCCCAGGGTGAGGCTGAGGCCCAACCCTCGCCGGGGCCTCCCCCACCACCTGCCCGCCCCGCCCGGCAGGCACCGCTCCCTCTTCAGAAAAGCTCTCCCCGGCCCTGCACCTTTAAATAAACAAAGACAAGAGCAGCATCTGGGCCGCGTGTGGCTTTGGGGCCCTGTCTTATGGGGCGACCGCCCCGCCCCGCCCACGTGACTGGAAATTGCTTCCATCTGTCTGTGGGTCTGGGAGCCATTCTCCACCCCACCCCCCATGTCCCTCCGCCCCTCCTCCTCCCTGCAGGACTAGGGGGGCGGGGGCCTGAACCGTCCTTCCCTGCATGTCCCCGGGAGCAGGGCTCCAGCTGGCCCGCCCAAGGCACCGCCATCCAGGACAGAAACCTGAACCCAAGCACACATCCCGCCCCCAGGCCCCGCTGGAGAAATGAGAATACAGCCAGCCTTCTGCGCAGGTGGGGTCCACGCCTGCCTCCTCGGGGAGCCCCTGGCAGGCCCCTCGATTCTGCCCACCCTGATGGCCAGCGGGCACAGTGACATGAGTGCTCCTCCCCCTGCCCCTCCCCTGCCCGCCATGGGGTCTGACCCCGGCCCCATGGGAAGAAGAGGAGCCAGCAGCAGGCAGGCCCGCCCGGACCCGCTGTGCGGCCTTTCCTTCTACGATGAAAATCCCTCTGCCTCTCTGTCCAACATGGTGGCCACATGGGGCTTTAAAAAAAAGTTGTGTTAAACGACACTTAACGGTAACACGTACCCCCTTAACCACTTAACCACGGTTACGCGCACTGCCCAGTGGCCTTGGGCACCTTCACACTGTGGTGCAGCCGTCTCCACCGCCGCCATCTGAGCTTCTTCACCCTGTCCCCATTACACACACCCTCCCCTCCCTGCCCCCCCCCCATGGCAACCTCCCTCCTACTTTCCGCCCCCGTGAATCTGACGAGCTAGGTGCCTCCCAAAAGCAGAACCCGGGTGTCCCTCCTGGCTCAGTCGAGTGACCTGGCGGGTGGCTCAGTGCTCTGTCCGTCCACCCGCTGAGGATGCGGGCTGCCTCGAAGCCGCTCTCCGCGGGGAGTGAGCCCAGAGTGGCCGGCCGGTCACACGGCCGCGGCACCTTCAATGTTTTGAGAAACCGACAACTGTCACCACATGTGACTCCTGAGTCCAGGAAAGGCTCGGGAATGTTTACCTCGTTCCATGAACATTTACGTCGCTACAGGCCGACGCGGCGACACCGCCCAATTCCAGTCCGACTGCAACTCCTTTCGCAAACGGGAAACCGAGGCCCCCAGAGTGGTTTTTCCTGAAATGCCCCTGGAATGGGTCAGGCTGGCAGAAGGCCTTCTTTGAGTGTAACCCTGTAATTTCATACTCGCTTCTGTGACATCTGATTAGTATCTGTCGGGGTCCCCTCTACAGACTGTGAGCTCCGGGGGGCGGCGACCCCCAGAGCCCTGTGGTGAGGGGGCACTCGGTCAAGACGCATGGGATGATGGGGCCCTGAGAGTCTCCCCAGGGGGAGGGGTGGTGATGGGAAGGGGCGAGGGCTCTGCCTCCCCAGCTGGCCTGCAACCCCCACCAGACCTGTGTTCCCACCCCCCGCCCCCTGTGACCCCTGCCTGGGATTGGGGCCCCCTCTTTCCCAAGGCCCTGCCACCTGACTGTTGTTGGTCACACCCACATTTCATCAAACGTTATTAATAGGAAAGGGAAGTTCTTAACAGAGAAATAAGAGGTTTCACATTCACGTCCGAGATCGCTGCACCCTGGTCAACAAACAGAGCAAGAAGCAGCCCCACTTTTTCTCAGGGGACACTCGTGCTCAGAGAAGCTAAGTCACTGATCCAAGCTCACACAGCATCTCCTGCCTCTTCTCACTGCTCCTGGCCGCTATGAATCCAGCGTGGGAAAGCCCTGGGGAAGGGGACCTGGAGAGGGCATAAACTGTGCCTGGGGGCCGGGCCCCCGTGGGAGCCTCACGCCTGCTCCCCGGGTCAGCCACCCCCTCCCGGGTGACGTGGACCGAAAGGAGCCCTCAGTGCCCGAGTGCCGTGAGCCGCGGGCACAGCGGAGGCCCCGATGCCACACTCAGGGCTGCAGACCGGTGCCCAGGGCGGCCAGGCAGTGCCCAAGGGAACAGACCCTTCAGTGCCCACAGGCGGTTCTGGGGCCGCCAGACCAGCCAGTTTCTCTCCGCAGCTCCCATCTGAGCCCTAGCCCATTCGCCTCTCCTGGCAGGGGAGCCCTCGCCACCTGCAGGCTGGGGGCAGCTGGTCCCGGCCGGGGTTGCTCTAGCTCTGCCTGTCTTGGGGACCTGCCCCCTCCTCACCACAGGCATCTGCGGGGCCTTTTCTCAGGATTCGGGGTGAGGGAGGGGTTTCCAGAGTGAGGCGGGTAGCGGGGCGGGAAAGGACGGGGTGACCTTGCTGTTCTGGGTGCCTCCGCGGGGCTGTCATTCGCAGCCCAGCCAGCACCATCTGAGGGCGTCTGCACGAGGGACCCATTCTCCCCGCCCGGGCTGCCAAGGGTGACGGGATCGATCCCCGCCTGTGGACCACTGGGCCTGGGGCTGTGGGATGCAGCCCCAGGAAGGAGCCAGCTATGGGGGGACGCCTCTCGGGGAGCTCACACTTCATCACGCAGCCCCGGGCAGCCGTGGGGAGGGCTCGGCGCAGGGCCGGGCTCGGAAGCCCGCACCAGGTCACCCTCTCTGCCTGCCCTGGTCCTGCCCGTCTGACCGCAGAAACATCCCTGAAAGCCCATCCTTGCAAACATCGGACGCGGCTCTGCCGGACTCGGCTCTAAGCCAGGGATGGGCAGCCAGGCAGGCCCTGCAGCACCAGAGAAAAGGCCGAAGGAAGCACAGGGCCCCACAGCCAAGACCAGGAGGCACTGGACGCTGGTGCAGGGCTGGCTCCAGGGCCCCTCCTCTCAGGTGCTCTCGGGAGATGCGGCCAGGCCAGCAGGAAAGGAACTGCGGGCCAGTGCGTCCCAGGCCTGTGAAGGGACATTCACATTTTACACTCCATGACCTCTGAGGAAAGGCAGCTGAGACCAAGCCTGGCTGAAGCTCTTCCCCACCTCAGCACGGGGTCCCGGATTCCAGGGCCCTCTCAGGGTCGGCTGCAGCTCTCCCAGGACCCTAGTGCTGATGTGGGCAGATCCTGCCACACCCACTGCCCTGGCCAAAGCTCCTGGGTAGACCCAAGCGTAACAGATGATCCACATGCCCCTCCGCATCCTAACACCACCTCCAGGAGGCTGCCCGGTTGAGCTAACAACATCACCGGGGTCTCAAAGATGACACCCCACTTCTGGTATCAGTGGCTGGTGGAGGGAGAAGCTGGTGCTCACCAACTCTGCATGTGCAGGTGAAGGAAAGAGAGTGGAAGGCATTGGGGCTGGAAACCAGATGGGCATAGAGTTGAGAGGGAACTGCCCTGGAAAAAGATGTTAAAGAAATGGCTATGCCGAGACCGGTTTGGCTCAGTGGATAGAGCGTCGGCCTGTGGACTGAGAGGTCCCGGGTTCGATTCTGGTCGAGGGCATGTACTTGGGTTGCGTGCACATCCCCAGTGGGAGACGTGCAGGAGGCAGCTGATCGATGTTTCTCTCTCATCGATGTTTCTAACTCTCTATCTCCCTTCTTCTCTGTGAAAAATCAATAAAATATATTTAAAAAAAAAAAAAAA